TTGAAATACTGACGACGTAAACCCCTGCCTTTTAACATTCAATGGTTTTTTGGCAAACCACGAAAATGTGATGTAACTTGAGAATACTGAAACGCTAGAAAAAGCATGTACACTCGCTAACGCTTCCAAAGTGAAAATTTACAAGAGGATTCCTTCAACGAGTATGTATGGAAGGACAAACGAATCATGAGACACCTCCAATGAGGACATCATCAAACTTCCTGCTCAGTATGTGTGTGCTTATCCTCAACTGGGGGGACCTTGATGACAATGGGGTGGGGGGAGGGGGACTAGTGGTAAGATTTTTGGACAAGCCTTTACATTAACAATACAGCGGACGAGTTCATTCATTGTCTCGTGTTTTGAAAATGTTACTACTCTGTTTCTGAATTTGTTGCGATCTCTCTTGATTACTCAACGAGAAAGAAAACCATATCCTCAAAAAACGTACCCCTCTTCCACACTGTTTTATTTGCAAAATGCACTGAGCTACACAATGATTCCTGCAGAGGACATCATGGACTTACTAAAGCTTTGCCTGGCGTCAACTTACTTTCATTACAACGATAATCACTACATACAGGTACACGGTACAGCTATGGAGTCTCCAGTTTCCGTTGTGGTAGCAGAAATTGTGATGCAAAACATCGAGAAACGCGGCCTTTACACTTGCCGACAAACGATACCGCTTTGGTTATGCTACGTTGACGAGAAATTTACCGCCGTACAACACGCCGAAATCGACGCATTTCACCACCACCATAATGGTCACAACACTGACATACAGTTTAACAGAGAGGTTGAAGAAAATGGTAAAGTACCTTTTCTAGACTGCCTGGTAAGCCGTGAAGACAACTTATTACGAACAACAGTTTACAACGAACCGACACAAAACAGATTACTAGACGAGTTATCCTGCAACCCCGGCGACATTCGGCACAAAGCCACAACTATCAGGACTCCAAAGCGACGAGCGCAGCTAGTATGCTCAACATCAACATAGAGATCAACGATGAATCCGTAATGAGTGGGCACGCCAAAACAAGTTACGTAGTGTGGGTCCTTGATATGGTCCTCACCGACTCGTACTATCGATCATCCTGGCCCGTGTCTAAATCCCTGGAGCACGACTACGTCTGGTCTGGAGTCTCACAACCTGAAATTGAAGGAGACATCAGGAGTTCTGTATCTCTACTCTCCGTTCGATTTTTTCCGCAGACTATCTTGATTTGCATCTAGAATAATAACGCTGCATTAACAAGGAGCTATCCATTGTCTCGTTTGTCGCGGATTACTGCGTCCCATTTGGACACTGTGTATTGTGGAATACCAGCATGCCTCACGCTAGGATGTATTGGAAGTCAAGACAGGGAGCCGTTCATAAGATCAGTCGCTCCGACTGCCACGCCTTCTACATCGGTGAGATTGGCAGAAACCTCACAACTGACTGAACACAAGCGAGCGACGAGGAAAAGCAATGTCAACAGTCACATTTCGTAAAATTTTGCCTCCACTATACAACCGAACACACAAGACAACACTTGGAGGCATGGACGCGTCGGTCAGCCAGGCCCATGATACATTTATTAACTCACGTGATTAAAAATCCACTGTTACAGTAATTCTAAGAACACGCCACGGCCGGACACGTAAACCCGAAAAAAACAACTATTGGAAAAATAGGGACCGTGTAACCCCAACCTATGCCATGGCGTCGCCTTTGGGGTTATAAAGCAAAACTAATAAAATAACGCCTAAAAACATGAATATAAGCAGAAAACGAGATGCTACATAAAATAGCTGAGAAAGAAAGGGACCTCCATGGATGGTAACGAGATTAAGGCTAACAGAATAAGTGAAAACTCAACTAAACAAAGCAAGATGACGCGGTGAGGCCGACTGTAGAATGACACGCATAACTAACCGGTCTCTCTTTAAAACCCCCTAACCGCCGTCCCACGCGCGCTACACTAGAACCCAGCTCCGTGCCGGCAAAATAATAATTTATGTCAATTATAATTTACACAAATTACATATTTTGCCTCCACTACACAACCGAACATACAAAACAACACTTGGAGGCATGGGCGCGTCCGTCAGCCGGACCCATGCTAGATAGTAAAAGAAAGGGCTTGAGCTCAGACGGACAGAGATTTAGAGACTTCAAGCCTGATAGATGTTTTTAGCTTCTACGGAAGCTCAGCGACCGTGACGCTGAATGTTTTTCTCCGAGACGCCTGAATTGGCTGCCAGAGTAGCTCCTCCTGATCTCGTGGAATGAGTACTAAACCTTGATATGTCAGGTACAATATCCGAAAAAGACTTCTTAAAGGAATCCCTGTACGCAGAGTAACTGATAGGCTTGTTAACCGAAACTAAACGCTTACGATTTTCTGAAGACGAAATAAGAAGAAAAAGATAGTCGTCAGAGTTCCCGGCTCAATGGGCTTTGCTCATGTACGCCATGAGAAGATAGCAAGGACCAGTAGACGAACGGGTTTCAACGGTGACGACAGAACGGCTTTCTCTTAATTGATCTGTTTTGCTTTTCTCAATAAAAATAGTAACGTAACTAGAACAGAACTGAACATGCTTACTACAAATGAGACATAATTCTGAACTTCTGAAAAAGCCGGAAAAGGCGAGGACGAACATAACTAAGCTTCTTAAATGCAAAATATTGCCAAAGTCAGTCCTTTCAGCAAGTTGCTTGAGATGGGTCACCTCGAGGGGTTCTTTCCTATGAGAGGCTAGTTGGCAAACAAGACGAAGAGCTCCCTCCTTCGTGGAGATAACGATGGGGTGTAGGGTAGGAGAATTCACTCCTACAACCTGATCCAGCCACTTGAAAGTGTAAAAAGCGCAGCTGATGGCAGACGCCGACTTTGATGACTGTAGAAGAAACTGCAGGTAGAGGGCACAATCCATGGGACTGACAGGAAAAGTGGTAACGCTCAACACGCCCTTGGCGAACTCTGCCCATATGTTGAAGGCCCTCAAATATTTCTCCGATGACCCGGACGCCCTCGAAGCAAGCATCGTAAGCTTGAGCTTTCGCTTCAGCTGGTTGACCTGACAGTCGTCGGAGCTTCCAGAAGACCAAAACCCAGAGGAGAAGATAACTTAAACAATAAAGTAAGAACACTAGTGAGCTAACCCATATACGGGACCTCAGGGGATAACAAAAGAGGTCAATACCCGTCCAGGGTATGACGCAGAAAAAACCGAACTGCAAGGAAAAATTGGAGCCCACCAAGGGTATAAAACTCGGGTAATAGAGCCCGTCCGGGACACGGCAATGACAGCGTCCACGGCATGGGCATATAGAACCCATCCAGGGTCAATAACCAGCCAGAACATTTAAATAATCTAAAGACAGTTTCGTAAGTCTATCAACCTGAAATCCAAATCTGTATTCTGCCCATCAGGGGCACAAGAATAAACCCACCAAGGGTATAAACATTGAACCCATCATAAAGACGGTAACGAACAAACAAACCCGTAAACAAAAAAATTTAAATATGAGCTCTTTCTTGCTGTTCGTAATCACGCTGGAAACTTAAGCTTCATCCATAGCCACGGCGAAGGAAAAAACAGAGAGAACTAAACCAAGCAAGATGAAGTGGCGAGGGTGACCTTAGAATGACACGCATAACTAACCGGTCACTATTTCCCCCTAGCCGCGGTCCCACGCGCGCTACACTAGAACCGAGTTCACCATTGCGCGCCGGCAAAATGATAATTTAGGTCAGTTCTAAATAACACAAATGACATAAGGTTGTGCTTGTTCATCGTGGTAAAGTACAATTATAATAAT